ACCACCACCACCACCACCTTTTTAAGAACGTGCGTCGTGCATGGTTCTTTTATTAAAGGCCCGAAAGTTTTGCGATGCTCTCTATGCCGTTAAACACGTCCGATCTCCAGCGATAACATAAATACAGGCTGAAACCAGACAAACTTTATTTACAGTCAGCGGGATCTAGTCTTGCATCAACTTATGGTCAGAGGCCTGTGGCGTTATTTTGATTGTCACGTCGGATATAGCCGATTTAGTCAAGCATTTATCCCTAAAGATGCTGATTTTGCTTGCATCAGTGTTAGTTACCCAACTGCTGCATTCAAACATCATATCGCTGGACTCGAGAACTCAATATCATGTTATTAAACCTTCCGCAATATTGGACTTTCAAATGACCAAATATGTCCCGTGATTTTATCATATCAAAAGCTCAGTTTCGCAAACTTACTAGCCAATTACAGGAACAACAACAGACGTGTACAGAGGGCAGAGTTCAAGTAAAAACAAAGAACCGATGGCACGATACAAACAATAATTTTCCCCGTGTTTTTCTAATGCCCTAATGCATATGAAGACTGTTTATTAAAACAAAATAATTATTAAGTTATACTACAAATCAGAAATAATGGTTAGAAAATATAAATTAGTATTAGATGGTAGATCTAATGGCTATGGTTAGGAAAGTAAATAGGTTAATACTGTACGTGAAGCGTAAATTATCCACCCTTTTCTAGGAATCACGCGCTAGTCACTAGATTCAGTCCCGTGTACATGATATGCACGCAGTTCAATAAACCAGCCAATCAAATCAAAGGAATTGGTTTTCGCGCCAAACCACAGCCAATCAGCGAGTAGATTCTTTCTGTTATCTTCCGTCATGTGATGTTCGGCCATTACCAAGAGACGTACGTGTTCCAGTAGAGAGAAACGATGAAATTTGGTTGGAAATATCAGCATGCTTTCAAAAATCTTTTCTTTTAATACTCGAAAAACTGGGGAAAAAATCCTCGAAAGTGATGTGTAAGTCTGCTTTAAGGCTTCTTTCATATCTAGGTGTTTTAAAATTTGCTTTGATTGCAAAGCTTTGTAGTAAGCTCTAATACATGCATCGTTCTGTCTTGAACGTCTGGCGGCCCCATCCACTGTTATATACTAATCATTTCTTTCTTCATTTGATAGTGGAACAGAATTACCACTTACGTCTGGAGGGTAAGTTTGCTGTCCTAAAATGTATTATCCCTATCAAAATTGAAAATTTTGATAAGAGTGAATTAAGTTATTGTAGCTCAACCGACCGCTGTCTGTTTGGTATCGTCTGTTTAACGGGTGTTCGTGACTTCATTTTCAAATCGTTATCATAACACATACAAATGAATCTTTCCTTTAATCAATTTTCTTTCCTTCTTTGCCTCCATTCTCTTTGTAATTCTCAAGAAAATATTTTTACTTTGGGCAAAAAGTCATTTTTTTCAATCGTCTTCTATCTACTTTTGGACATGATTCAAAGTTTAAATATTCGATAATAAATATGCAAATGTTTTGCATTTGTAAGCCTAATTGTCTGATTTATAGTAGGATTTGAATTTAGAAGAAACTGTAAAATTCTTCACACTGAAAAAACGTTTTTTTATTAAGAACGAAATCAGAGAAAAAGATTTTTAACGTAAGATGTTATTATTGTCATTATCTACAATTAATTTATGCAATTATTTTATAACCTATTATGGACTTAAGCTTAAATGCAAAACATTTTTTCAAATTTCCTTTGTTTGGTGTGACATTTTTGTCATATTTTTACTTTCATTTTTGATGACATAAACAGGAAGTCATAAACATAAAATAAATGTTGACATTGATTTTTATCAGGACTGAAAAAGTTTGTGACAACTAAGGCCCCGTCCACACTATGCTGGATAAATTTGAATCTCCAACTCTCACACCAAAACTGAAAAAAAAAGTTTTCTTTCCACACATGAAAATGGAGAAAATGTTTCATGTCCATATTAGTCCGATCAAAGGCAGCAAAAACGCGTCATTGCTCACCTGAGCATGTGCATCAAAGCTGAAATTGAGCCCGCGGTGAATTTTTAGCCTTCCTGCCATTTTCCCCTGACAATCATGACGTCATCGTATTTGAAAAATTACAAAATGCTCTCCGTCCCACACTAATGTGGCTAGCCGGCGTTTTCAAATTGTTCCACTCTGGAGACCGTATTTGAAAAAATTCATTTTCGGTGAAGAATTGTTCTGGATTTGTTGTTTCCGGAATTGTTCCGAATAAATAAAAATTGGGATTCAAATTTATCCAGCATAGTGTGGACGGGGCCTAAAAAAACTTCTACTTATAATAAACTCTAAAAAATTACTCGATTGTGATTGGACAAGAGCAGGACTATATCCCAAATTGTACTCTGTAGAGTCCCAATTAAGTTGCCCAAATTTGGTTGATGGTATTAAAAACAAAAAATTGCACAATCATTTCGAAATTTATAGATACTCATGATGTTTTGAAAGTTCTCAAATTGAACTCGCCTAAAGGCTCATCCAATTTTGAAAACTTTCAAAACATAACTCGTACCTATGATTTCCAAATTGTACTCAAGATCGTGCGATTTCCTATAGAAATTAGAAATTATATTTTATAAGAGTAAGAAGAAATAACTAGCTAAAAACTAGTGTGAGTTGAGTCAGTGTTTCTAATGAAACAGTCATGATAAAAAGGTAAATTATACACTGTCAAAAGATCATTGCAAACATTTACTGACATTTCGGACGCTAGTCGTTCGTCGGAGTAAAAGAAGGTGAAGGACTAGCCTCCGAAACGTCACATTTACCCTTTTATCATTACTGTTTTATAAGAGTACAGTAGAAAATAATTTAGGATTATTGAATTACCTTGCGAACTCAAAAAGTCACTTGAAAAACGAAAAAAATTAAGATTTGTTCATGATTTGTAATTGAAAATAGTTGTGGCTTTAACATGTAGTCTAGGGAGAAATAAGTTAAATTCAAGTCAAATTAGAAATTACTGACATAATCACCTAGAAGTTTATAAAAAGCATGACATTTATAATATCCACTATAATAGAACTTACTTAAAAATGGCAAAACATTGCTGACTAAAACACTTGTAAACTTTTCAAAAAGTGGGGTTTTAAATATTAAATGCCACCTTTAAAAAAAGCAATTGGAAATTGCTTTTGAGGGATTTTGTATGAACATGTATATTTTTCTATGCCATATTTCAATAGGATATTCCCAGATTTAGATGCTACCCAGATTCGAATATTGGTATTTAAAGACTGTGACCGGAAAGGAAAGACCCTACTGTATGACTCTAAGATTGCTAAGCAGATACAGGAAGAAAGAACACAGGTAACTTGGATTTTCATTGATACCGATTTTAGTCCGATATACTTTCGGATATTGTTCAGAGCCAATCAGATCGTTGTTGTGACGGGACTACATAAAAACTGCAATAACTCTACAAATATTTGACTATGTCAGTCAAACTTGGACAGACATACATTGCCGGACATTGCTTACACACGGTTGCCAATCATGTGACATATGATGTCATCAATCACGTGACTACATATAATCTGTAATAACTCTACAAATATTTTACCACTGTCAGTCAATTTTGGATAGACATACATTGCCGAACATTGCTTACACACAGTGCCAATCAAGTGACATGACGTCACCAGTCATGTGACCACATAAAAAACTGTAATTGCTCTATAAATATGTGATCAATGCTGAATGCTGCTGACACATCTTTCAATCATGTGACATATGACGTCACCAGTCATGAAATCATCATGATGTTGAAAATGGCAGTAGCCACATGCAGGCTTTGAAAGCATATTTTTTTTAAGTACCATTAAGTATTATTAGGTATTCATTGACAAATCATGTCCTTGACTTTAATATGTCTTGAGTTAGCTTAAACACTTTCTAGGGGTTTGCATGAGTTGATTATTATTTTCTTATTTTATTATTATTATTTTTCTAAGTAAGAATGTGAAATACTAGATGCTTTCAAAATATTCCAAGATATATTCTTCATGAGGGCATTGTGATGTGGCCTAAGCTTGTTTTTGAATTCATCTATGATAATACTTAATAAGTTATGATAATTATTGTCACTTTGATAGGATGCAGCCCAAGGCAAACAGCAGGACAAAACAAACAGCAAAGCTGCTACAAGAAAACCAGACCACAACCATGGAAGTTATAGTACTCCCCCAGTCAAAAAGAAACTGGTACAAAATAATCTCTTTTAATTATTATTTAATCTCCTATGAAGCCACTATTAGTGTCGTCACGCAAGGCTTATTCCCCTGAGTAGCGGCTGCTTACCTGAGCACAACATTCCATTACCTTTGTCGGCGGTTAGCCAATCAGTGAACAGTGTGACGTCGATTTACCACGCAATGTGTTCTTGCTCGTTCATAAGCTCATCAAATACCAACGGTAAAGCTTGAAAAACCAATGATTTCCTGAAGCCTGTTGGCAGATTTATGAAGACATCTACTTTGTCTTCTACTATAGAATGAATAGCTGCTTTCTGATGATCATTAAAAGCCGTTATTTGAAATTTTGTGCTCACTTTTTCCAACACTCTCTCAAAGTTCGCCATTTTGTAGTGATAATGGTGCGAGTTAGTTCTTGATTTTTGAACTAGAGCTGTGATTGGTTAATTTAAGGGAATGGAATGTTGTGCTCGGGTAAGCAGCCCTTACTTAGGGGAGTGAAGCATAGCATGACAACACTAATAGGGGCTGCATACGTAGGAGACATTCCACATTTTAACATTACAATGCCACTACATTAACCAAGGCCACCCAAACAAATTGAAAATTTGTACAGATTCTATTGTTTAAATACTCAATCGTGATTGGCAAATATGTCTGAAAATTTTTTGCATTGATATAAATCTATGTATTATTAATTATTTATTTCCACATTCTATATTCCAGCATCGGCGATCAAGTAGTGACTCTACATTGTTGGGAGAAATGATATTTGGATCAGTAGCTATGACATATAAGGGATCAACAGTCAAAGTTCATCTCATAAGGTATACTATATTGTTATTTACATTCTAGAACAATATAATTTTTTGCAGTACGGATTGTTTGATTTTTATTTTGATTACTTGTGCAAGAAAAGCAAAAATGAGATTGCTTACTTTGTACCCATTAGATCACCTCATCAGCTGTTGATGACCAAAGTATTCTCTCTTCGTCCTCGTATGTCTGTATCAAGTAACTGCAGGTAAGTTTTCAAAATCAACTTAACATATTTACAGTAAAAAGTATTCATTTATCATTTGAATCAAATATAAAGAAATGTGAGTTTATATATGTTGTTTTGGTGTGCACATACATGCATGTGTGCAATAACATTTACTGATTTGTGTAACATAACCCTCAAAACCTTGACATTGACATTTGGCATTAAACATTTATTGTTTTCAATTAATAGACCTATAATTACACTTTTACCTGCAAGTAGCTTCAGGCTATTCAAGGCAGGTTAAAAGAATAGACAGACATCTACTGTATAATTACGATAATATCAATATTGTGATGCAAATAAAAACCAAAAGATGAAAATAATATTTACAATTAATAGATATGATTAAGTGTTGTTAATAATGAATATCGATACACATATATTTTATAATATATAACATATAAATGAAAACATATGTTCATATCTAAATAAATATGAAATGAAGAGGACTTTGCTAAGGAATACATGCAATGATACATTGAAAAATCCATTCATTAATAAGTATTTATTACGTGTAAAACTATGCAATCATTTGAATCAGTTATTTGCTGATGCCAAAGACAGGTTACTGATTACAGTGAGACACTAAAATAACTATATATTATATTTTTCTCCAATTGTAGTGATAATACAGATAGTTTCATGAGCAGTGCAAGTCAAATTGACTCGATCTTAGAAGATGGCAGTCGGATTGAGAGTGACTGTGTTTCATTGTCATCACAAAGCAACAGTCCAAAAGATTCCCATCTAGTCCAGGAGAATTCTTCCACTCCTGTACCTGTGCCTCAATTAACACCAACAGTTAATATTGAACCTGAAGATGATAGTGGATTTACTGCATCACTGGACAGTAAGTATTTGTTGTGCTGAGATTACATTCCCACTGATTGAGATGTATTATGCTTTATACTGTAAGAGCATTTTCTGTTTCTTCATTTTTCATTATTCAGACCCGTTGCTAGGGGTGGTTCGATTGTAGGAGTACAAAATATTGCACTATTTTGGTTTTTCAAGAAATGACATAACTAGGATTGGTAGAAAAATGAACATCCCCTTTCAAGGACCTAGTGATGGGTCTGTTATTACAATTTAGTAAAAATACCCAGGTGATTATAGAAAATCTCGCATGCTGATTGGTCAAGAAACTCACACTATCACATGATAATCACCTCGAGTGAAAATCCAAAATGGCGGCCAGCTGCTTTGTTGCTGTTACCAGGAAAAAATGCCTTTTATCTTCTTCTTTTTTCTTTTTTTGAAAGAATCACCTGTGTATTTATACTAAAACAATTATTTGCCTCAGGCTCAGTGATTATTGGGGAATATTTACCTTGCCGCTCGAAGACTCATGTCTCAGTAAAGATTCCCCGATAATCACTTCGCCTTCGGCGAATAATTGTTAAATAAAAGTCATGCTACCAAAAATCTGTGAACAACAAAGATCAGTAGAGCAAGAGCCAAAAATAATTTTAAATCGACAGGAAGTAAATTTTCATTCCATACTACCATTAATGTAATTGCTTATATTTGACTGTATTTTTAACCTGAGCACTAGCCAATGGGAATACAGAATTTTTAATATTTCAGAAATTATGTTCTAATGAAGGTGGATATTTTGTCTTGTCTTTGTATTTTGTCTTGCCAAGATGGGCTTTATAAAATACTGCAGACTCAAAAAAATATCCACCTATTACTGCATCTGAGAATGTCAGTAATAAAGTATGTATATTCTAAATGGATAGAAATAACTTGGTAATACCTGACTTGTGATGGTTTACTTGAAAGTTTATACTACTTAAACCATCACTGCATACTCACTGTAGTAACTGTTTATAATAATTATTTAATATTTATTCATATATCTTTAATATATGTTATATTTAATATTATTATTTTATATTATATATTTAATATTTATTCATATATCTTTTTATAAAATCTAGAATAACTTGTAAATATAAACAATTATGATTTGTTTTATTCATTTCTATTTAAAGTGTGTGAATAAATTGAATTGAATTGTGTTTCAGGCTTATGTTGCCATGGTAGTGTCACATCCTTGTTTACCCCTGCATCATCTCCATGTGGTAGTTTCCAAAGAAGGTTACATCGTAGTCAGATCACAAGTATTGATAGCAGATTCAACAAGAAACAGGAAGAATCTTCAGAAGAGGTAAGAAATGTAGAATTAGATAGGAATTGAAGCCCCTGTGGCATACTGTATTTGTCTAGAGTGCACATGTGTTCCACGATTAACCCCACAACTGGAGTTCATTTTTCTAATGATGATGATGATAATAGTTTATAGTCATAGTAAAAACCACTCTGTGTAACCAGTGCTGAAATATCTATATCACCATCATCATCATCATCATCACCACTGCCACTATCATTATCTTTGTCATCATCATCATCATCAACTCTATAAACACCAACATCAACACTACCATTATCATTTCCACTGCCGTCACCACCATCATTAATCATCATTCCCAAATGTTGTACATACACCATACATCCATGATGCACATGCTTTGTTTTGATACACAATAACATCTAATTTTTTCTTTGATTTTTGCTTTATATTACAGCCTAATTCCCCAATTCTTAGACGTCGACCTAAAATTGGTATCGGAATTCTTTTCCCCCTGAGTGACAGTGATGAACAAAGCAGGTACAGTGTACATGTAGAGTCGATGTTTGAAAATCCACTGTTTGGATTATAAAATATAAAACATTCAATATTTATATTCAATATTTTTTGCTGTTTTTATTTTTTCTTCTAGTGCTCTTCAAAGATTTTTCTTTGCACATTTCCCTCTGTTTAACTCACATGTGCATCGGCTGAGGTTGGCAGTTGAGAGAGCTTGCCATTCTAGAAACTCTTTTGCAATGCAAGTTACAGAGGTAAGGATTAATGGACAGGTGTCCAAGTATGTGTAAGGTAGGGAAGATCCAGGAGGGACCCCACCCTGTCTTAATGGAAGTTCAATAGTCCAATACACAGTTCCCTGTAAGTAAAAGGTAGCTGTGCCTTTGCATTATATTCAAGATGGCACTGGAAACTGAGGGACTATTATTTCATCCTAAAATGTAGTTTGGCTACAGGTTTGAGTATATTTTGTATGAAGCATACATTTGGACAGTCCTTTCAAAATTTTTGGAACCACCCTTATGTGTGAATTGTTGTACCACCTAAAAGGTTCAATCCAATTTGCTTCATGTGTAGTATTACTGAAACCATGTTATTCAATGCATACTAATTAGCAATGAACTAAATAGACATAAAACAGCATAATTCTCAATCTAGAAAAGTATGTTTCGAGTGAACATACAGTATTCAAGTGCCCTGATGATGATCGTTTTTGAACATTCCATTTGTTACAGGCATTTAATAGATTTTGTGAGGAGATTAGCAACTTTCTCAAGACTCCAAGACTCAAGGTATGCATCCGAAAGTCTCTTAACTTAATTTACACCTCAGTGCCTGGTTGTTTAGGGTGGATAGCCCTATCTGAATTATGGTGTTGTGGGATAAATTCATTGATGCTGTTATCCAATAAATTTATCCACTGGATAGATTTATCCATCGGATAGCGCTATCCACTTTTCATACGAACCACGCCCAGAGCTATTTCAAGCTGATGACTGGATTTAAAGTTTTTCTACTACCAATCATTACTGTTAGAACAAAAATAATTCAATCACTTGTAGCATCTGACTGCCTTTTTGTGTGGCATAATGTTAGACATTTACTGAACGACTGCCTCTTCTTTCCTTGCCATAGCAACCAGTGTGGCTTAACATGATGACGTTTCCAGATCATAGAGGGGATTTGTGTGAAAAATTTATGGAACAGCTGACAGGATGTCTAAACCTGTATAACAACAGAGAAACAAATTTGTAAGTGTTTTTATTCACTAGCTTTTTAGATTAGACTTAGATGCCTGCATAAAAATTGCACTTCTGTGGTATCCAGTTCAATTCCTGGATCAAGGTTCACATGTTACCAAAGTTTGTTTGGTGTCCTCGTTTTTCCTTCCTCTGCAAAATGCAATATGCTATATTCAATTTTAACCAGTGATTAGCCATGCCGTCACTTAGTTTTCAGTCCAAATTTTATTTGAGAGTTTTAAGGAGCAGACATAGCTTGGGTACTAGTTTGCAGGATTTTGAGCTCTAGGTCCGTGATTCTATCCTTAGGGTCTGCACATCTGTGTTGACTTCTCTTTAATCAGTGTCACTTCAGCTTTGAATGCTCTTAAAACACAGCACTGATGGAGAAAGGGAATAAGGTTTTTCTTTTGTTTGGTTTTGACCAAAAACACTCTATATATTTACATTCCTTTGATTTCCAATCACTTGTCTGATCATGGATTATTATGATTTCTTTGCCAACAGTTTTCTCACAGCAGTATTGTCTGCTGTCCTCACTCATCATCTGGCTTGGGTGCCTACTGTTATGCCTGCTGGGGCAGCTCCAAGCAGAGCATACTTAGACAAACATTCTTCCAAAACAGTAAGTCATCTGACAGCTATCCTTTTGAATTGTTTGCTATCAATCACATGATCTTTTAAAAGTTGACTGGGGGGGGGGGGGGGGGGGGGGGCAATTTTTATGCAACTAGTGACTGTTAAGTCAAAACAAATCCAAATAAGTCTTCTTAGTATTCTATCTGACTATTTCTATGGCCAGAAATCAACATAAGAAAAATATTATACAACCTCAGAAAAATCTGACCAAGCTGGGAAATGATGTGATATTTGATCTCATGCAAGTCCCATGCCAGTCCCACTGCTGGGTTACCTGTGTCTTCCTTTCAATGTCGCAAATACATTGCAAGTAGAAGGAAAATTTAACTAGAGCTTTTTTGACTTTGGTTTATTATTTTTAACATCTTGCATTTAAAGAGACATACAACTTAAGTATATATTAAATGCTAATACGTACCTATGGTTGGTTTTGAACAGCTTGACCTTTTGGCACAGTCACATCCTTATAATCCACTGTGGGCACAATTAAGGTATGTACTACATATTATTATACAGTACTGATCATTTTAAAGTAAGTAACAAAACTAAGGCTGTTACACAATGTTTTAATGTCACTGACATTGTATGTACTACATATTATTGTACAATACTGATCATTTTAAAGTAAGTAACAAAACTAAGGCTGTTACACAATGTTTTAATGTCACTGACATTGTATGTACTACATATTATTGTACAATAC